CCAGGCCCTGCTGAAGCTCAGCACGCAGGAGGTGTTTTGGCAACCACAGTGAGGACACCCACTTTTGTCCCTGCAACCTCTCCATCCCACAGTCCCTGGTAGCTCAGCTCAGCTGTGCTGAGTCTCCCTATCCCCCACCAGAACATCCCCACCATTGCTCATGCTGTTCTCTCTGCCTGGAATGTCCCGCCCCTCAGGACTCCCATGGCCCCGGGAAGATACCCCTGTCCCTGGAGTTGCAGCAAGGGCCAGAGGCTGGGCTGAGGCTTACTCTGAGAGCCTGGGCAGCAGGAACTGAGGCTGGACTGACCAGCAAGGTCCAAAGTCAGCCAATGCTTCTTGAATGAGTAAATGTGCAGCCCAAGTGGGGCCTGGGACAAGGCCCAAGGTGGGAAATGTAGACAATCAGACCTGGATGGCCACCTGCAGCAGCGGTAGGAGTGCTGTTTAGTCACAGCGCCCAGCACACACGAAGGCCTTGCTACAGGACTGACATGTGTGATCTCATTTACTCTTCCCAATAACCTGTCAGGATCACCCCCACATTTTCAAATGGGTCCCATCTGACCCCAAGCTGTGACCTTTGCCATGGTACTGTCACTGCACTGGAATTTCTCCTGGCCTAGAGGGCCTAGGTCAACCTGGGCAAAAGAGGGAAGGGAGACAAACAGGCAAGGAGCACAGGCTGGGCTCCCCCAAACAAGACGGAGGTGGGGTGAGTGTTTGGCTCAGGGGTTAAGACACTGCTTAGGACGCTCCATTATAAGAATGTCTGGCTGAATTTCTGGCTCCTCTGCTTCCAGTCCAGTTTCTTACTGAGCATACTCTAGGAGGCAGCAGATAATGATGGCTCAAGTACTTGGGTCCATGCCATCCACGGGAGAGACTCAGACTGATTTGGCTCCTGGCTTTGGCATGGCTGTTGTGGGCATCTGGAGTGAACCAGTAGATGGAAGATCTCTATTTCTCTGCCTTTCAAGTTAAGTAAATTTTAATTAAAAAAAAAAAAAAATACAGAGACTCTACTCCCAATTCTTCAAAGTTGACCCTTGAATACCTTTCTTTGCTACTTGGGCAGTGGGCAAAGGGACAAGCAGCACCCACATTCGTCTGTTGTGAGCCAGCCCCAGCCCTGGCTGCCTGGCTTCACCTCTCCACCCTGCTGCAGTCCCCTCAGACAAGAGGGAAAACTCGGTGCCTCACCAAAGGTACCTCTCAGATGGATGCTGTTCACACCCCAGGGATGGAGAGCCTGGGATGCAGAGAGGCAATCGAGGAGCTGAAGATCTCAGCAGGTGTGGAGCTGGCTCTGGATACAGGAGACGTCAGAAGAGATACGGGCTCAGGAGAGATCAAGGGGCGGAGACACACACAGCCCCAAACAGCACAGGGAAGCAGGCTGGGGCTAGGAAGACGCTGGGGTGCCAGGGGGCTGTGCAGACACAGCAGGTTGCACACCTACTGAAACCAGGATCAGGGAGAGGCGGAGGCAGAAGGCTGCGGAACAGACAAGAGGCCAGGGGAAAGGGGCTGTCTCTGTTCACCTGCCTGGATTCTGGATTCTGGATCATGCAAACCAGTTAGTTCTAGGCCACAGAGAGGAAACAAGGGATCACCTGTCAGAGAGGAGGGGTCTGCTAAGCCCTTCACACTCCACTCTACCCAGCAGGTACTGTCCAAGACACCAGCCCAGCTGACAACATGGACTCTGCCCAGAAGGAGGGACAATCCAGCACCTGCTCTGAGGCCTAGGGCATCCCCAAGGCCAGCACCACATCACCACGCTGGCCAGATGCACACTGCAGGAGCAGGGGGTGATGCTCTGCCCTTGGACCAGGCATCCCAAGAAATCCTGCTCACCTACACAGAAGCCTCATTCCCAAGCACCATGTGCTGTTGCTAAGAGCTCAACTCCCAGGTGCCCTTCTAGCACATGCAGAAGGATGAGTGGGTTTCTTGGGGCCCTGAGGAGACCAGGGCTTTTCTCTACCCTGAACCACCTTCCACCACTGCTCTTGGGATTTTTCCAGTGGAAGCCAAGCCCCAGGCAGCTGCCTTGTCTTCAGCTTCCTCTCAGTGGGGAAGGACCAAGTGCCAGTCCCCATGACTCTCTATCCCCCAAGGACAGCATCTTAAAAAACATGTGCTGTGGGGCTGGCGCTGTGGTATAGTGGGTAAAGCCACCACCTGCAGTGCCAGCATCCCATATGGGCGCTGGTTCGAGATCCGGCTGCTCCACTTCCAATCTGGCTCTCTGCTATAACCTGGGAAAGCAGTAAAAGATGGCCCAAGTCCTTGGGTCCCTGCACCTGCGTGGGAGACCTAGAAGAAGCTCCTGGCTCCTGGCTTCGGATCAGCACAGCTCCGGTCATTGAAGCCACTTGGGGAGTGAATCAGCTGATGGAAGACCTCTCTCTCCCTCTCTCTCTTTCTTTCTGTCTCTCCTTCTCTTTCTGTGTAGCTCTTTCAAGTAAAATAAATAAATCTTTAAAAAAAAAAATACATGGGCAGAATGATGGCTAGTCAGTCCTTAGGCCTCCACCATCTCTGAGGATCCTGGGACAAAAAGGACAGGATTGTGACTCCTTTCATGCAATGTTTTGGCTGTCCCCTACCCTGACCAGCTCCAGACAATATTCTGGACTTGGAGCCACAAGCCCAGAGCTCTAAACCTAACAGACATCTAGTGCTGCTGTGGTTCCTTAGTGAAATAAGTCACCTTGCCTCTCTTTGAGCTGCAGATTCCTCATTTTGTTTTACAACAAGGGTGATGATGATGATGATGATGATGATGGTAATGGTGATTCCAACGCCCAGCCCACAGGGCTGTGGAAGTGAGGATCAAGTCACTCAGACCAAGACACAGCTATCAGCAGATGGCTGGCCAGGGGCCTCCGGGGGCCAGCTACGCCATCTGCATACATCCCCAGTGCGATTTCCGGAAGGGCAGCTGGGAACGCACCTAGCAGGCTGAGCCCGGCGCCTGCCCAGAGTGGACAGTGGGAAGCCAGAGGCCCTTGCTCAGTGTTAGTTGGGAAGCTGCGCTCCTCAGCCCACCAGCCAGAAGGCTCTGGGGAGCAGGCTGGAGTGGGAACACGCTGCAGCTCAGCTTTTCCTGGACTGGAACACCTGGAGCTTCCCTGGAGACACTGTGTGCCAGGAACCTGGAATTCTCAGAAAGTCTCGGAATCGCAGCCCACCTTAGGACAAGAGATGCCCACCCATGGCTTCCTTTAATCAGCACTGGATTGTGTAGGATCTGGAAGATCACTCCTCTTCATTATACGGACAGCTTCCATGTATGAGGTGCAGGCACAGGGCCAGCTGCATCATATTAGCACTCTGTACTGACACCTCGCAACCACCCTACTGAAGAAGGTTCTACTACCCCGTTCTATAGATGAAGAAACTGAGGCTCAAAGATGATCATTGATTTGCCCAAGACATGGAGTCAGCTCCCAGCAGCGCGAGGATTAACATCCAGGTCGGCCCTCTCTAAGCCATAAGGGGGAAAGAATCCCCGACAACACAAAGCCAAGATCAATCCTGCCTGTGCTTGGGGGAGTTTTCCCACCGTAGCCGGTGATGAGTCATCGAAAGCACAGGAAATTCTCGAACCCTGCATCCTTTCCCGGGAGCACAGATGCCCTGGAGATCACCAATGACAAAGCCACCTGACACCCACACCTCCCATCCAGTGCTCCAACCCACGTGTCCTGCCCCTCACAGACCCATATGTGGAAATCCTGTTCCCCAATAGAGGAGATTGGGTCTCTAGTCTTCATGCGGGGAAATTGAGGCAGATGGGAGGTGGGACCTGGGGAATGGTGCCCAGCAACAGTGACTGGGCTGAAGCCACAGCCTCTCGGACCTCTGAGTCTGTGTTCTGCCCTCTGCTCTGCCTGGTGATACCACAGCCCAGAGAGGTTTAGGACAGGGTCCTAGGTCAACCAGCATGGAGGACCCATTCCCAACCAACAGTAAAGTCTTTGCTGTTGTAAGGATGGAGGTTTCCTTTCAACCCTTTTCGCTCAAGCTGGCAGGGCTGTGTCGGGAGAGCTACTTCTGGGGTGCCTTGATGCTGGTTTAGGCTGAGGAGCAAGCAGCACTATCCACAGACACCAACCTCACTCCCTAGGGTGGGAGTACACACCCAGCTGCAGCCCAAATATACCACTCCTGCCTGCAGCGGGAGAACAGACCCCTGATTCAGGGAGGAGAGAGAAACCCGGAGCCGGCGGCTGAGGGAAGGGTGGAAGTCTCTGCAGCAGAACCAGGGTTCCTGAGCAGATGGCCCCTGGGGAAGGGAGCAGAGGAGCCACTGGGCACCACAGCCATTGTCCACTGCATCCACAACACACAACACCCTGCTGGCAAACACACATCCAGCTGCACAAACGCGGGTGACCACAGCCACTTTGGATGCTCCCCTGGGGCTTCGGGGGGGGGGGGGGCTGAGGAGAAGCAACAGTCACATGGTCACTTTCTCTAACACAATCACAAACAGATGGTTTGGGACAAGCACAAACCAACCTAAGGATGTCCAGGGACCCGGCAAGCGTCCCTGCAGCACGGTGCAGGCACACGCAACACTCTTGACCGTCCACTCCCACAATACCCACGGCGAGCTGGCTCCCCAGAGGCCCACAGCCCCTGAGAACATCCCCGCCCACCCCTAGGAGGCTTCAGGGGACCAGATAGACACCTGTACTGTCACAATCTCCCTTGCTAACACCACGCCAGACACACAAAACTGTTGCCAAACTGTCCCACAGCCCTGATGCGGCAGCAAGGGGATGCCCACAGATGACCGCACGGTACCTGGTTAAGCGCGGGGCCGGCAGGTTCGCGTGCATACACGCGGACACGGAGCCCCGCGTCCCGCTCTCCGCTGCGCCCCCGGTCGCCCCTGCAGGAAGTGCTGAGACCAAGGGAGGTCCCGGGCACGGCCCCAAGTCAGTAGACCCCAGCCCCGCAGCGCCAGCCCGCAGCGGACTCACCTCACGATCCCGAACATGACAAGCACGTTGCCCAGCAGCCCCACGGCGCATACCGCCGAGTAGAGCGCGGTGATGGCGATGGCCAGGGCGAGAGATGAGGCGCTTCGTGCGCCCGGTGGCCCCGACGCATTGGTGCCCGCGCTGGGGAAGGCGCTGGGGTAGGCGTCCGAAGCGTTGGCGAGGAGCGCGGGCTGCTGCTCGGCGCCGGCGGAGGGGGCCGGCTCCATGGCGGCCGGGTGGCCCGCGCCGCGTCCCTCTCCACCGTGCGCCCTGGGCGCAGGGACCTGGAGCAAGGGACGCGCGAACAGCCGAGGCCGCTGCCCCGACGCCGCCGGCTGCAGCGCCCCGAGCGCTCCGCTTTCTCTGTGCCTCGCCGCCAGCAGGGGCTCTACCCCCGGCTTCCACCCGCTATCCTCGCCGGGAGCGCTGTGAGCCGGGAACCGCTGCGGGTTCCTCGGACGCGCCCGCCGTTCGCACCACGTGGCCTGGAGGCGGCCGCCAGTCTGCGCCCGCGAGCGGGGGCGGATGCTGCAACACCGGCAAGCCACGCCAGGGAGGCCTCTGGCCCCCGTCCCCAGTCAGGCTCCGTGGGGGTGTGCGCGCCCCTCCCCAACCCTGGGACGTTTTGGAGCCAAAAGGACCTGAATGTGAATCCTGTTTCCCGCCCTTGCACAGAGTGACCTTGGGCAAGTCCCTTAACCTCTCTCAACTTCATGCTCTTTGTCGGTGAAATGCGGGAGCTAGCTCAGCCACCTGATAGGGTTGCTGGAGAAAGGAAGAGGGTACGAAACAGGAACGTAGGTCAGCGCCAGGCACAGTGAGCGCTCCACAAGTGACCGTGGTCATCCTTGCTCTCCTCCCACCCTATGTACTCACTCAGCAAGCATCCCCAGGGCGCCTAACAGAAGACCTGAATACTGTTGCCAATACATAAAGCTAGTTGCAGCCTCTGCTTCCTGGGGCTCACGGCCCAGTGGGGGCAGGGATAGCAGCCCTAACACCACACCAGTGAAGACAGGCACCAACAGAGAAAAGCTGCAGAGTGTAAAACCTGGAGGCCCTGACACCTGCCCTGTGGAGTGACACTTGAGGCCAGGTGTGAAGTCTGGGGGGAGAACTAACTTAAGGAAGAGCTTGCCAGACAGAAGAACCACACAGGGCCAAGGTACTGTGGTCAGAGGACCAGAAAGGAAGCCAGGAAGTCAGTCCTGGGAGAACTGGTGAGGAGGTGTGCAGGGTCTTAAAGACCACCTTAAGGCTCCCTCCGGCTGCTACATGAGCACCTGGCTAACTCATCCTTCCACACTCCTTCCCCAGCCTGAGCAGCCTGGATCCAGAGCCATCCTCTCTGGATACCTTTCTGGAACATTCTCGTTACTAAGCTTTACTCTGTTCCAGGGCCTGTTATAAGCACTTTATCCATGCACCAATACTTTGGTGCATTGGACTTCTAGCTCTGGGCTCTGAGACAATGCTCTTGGCTTGTGGGGTAAGGACCACTCGTTCACTCCACCCTCTGGCTCAAGTCATCAACCTGTGTGTAAGCGTGTCCTCTTTCCAGAAAGAACAAAGAAGAATTCCCAAGTCTATCCTCTTCTCCACTCTCTCCACCTCACTCAGCTGCTGTCCAAGCCCCTCTACCTGTTACAGCAAATCCTCTACTCCAAGGCTTCTCCATTCAATATCTGAGAACTCATCAGATGGAAGTTTATGCTGCGGTCACATATGTTGCCGAACTCTCTCCCCTGTTCCAAAGGGTCTGGTCCTCAGAGACTTTTCTAGTGCCAGGGGAGAGAAATTGAGATAAGAAGGAGGAGAGCTACTTATTTGGAGTTCTAGCTTCCTCTCTAATCCTCCAACAAACCAAAAAAAAAATTTTTTCTACCTTAGGACATTTGCACCTTCCATTTCTTCCACTTGGAAGACTCAGCCACTTCCCTAGGCTAACTGCTACTGATTCTACAAGTTTTCACTTAAATATCACTTCCTCCATGAAACCGCTTTTTTAAAAAAAGATTTATTTATTTTAAAGAGAGAAAAAAAAAAAAAAAAAAACAGATCTTCCATCCCCAAATGGCTGCAATAGCTGGGGCTGGGTCAGGCAGAAGCCAGAAGCCTGGAACTGCACTGGGGTCTCCAACGTGGGAGGCAGAGGTCCAAGTGATATGGGACAAGGTAGCTAGCTGAGCGGAGGTCACCAGTCACAAGGCCCTGTCCCCATGTAATTCTATCCTACCTGTCAGAACACTCCCCTTCCCAGGATACCTTATATTCATCCAGGACCTGGGGAGAAAGTCACATGTACATAGGTGACCACATTACCTCAAAAGAAGGTGCTGGGAGGTTCTCACCCCCTCTTCCTTCGGAGACCAATGAAAGGAGGTGCTTAGCTGCCCCTGTCTTCCTCTCTGCTCTCCCCTCTTTTCTCCCACTCCACTCCTCAGCTATGCCCGTCTGTGTGTGTGTGTGTGTGTGTGTTCGCTTTCTTACCTTTTAAATAAATGTTATCACTTTGTGCACCGCATATGTGCCTGTACTTAAAATGCCTTTTATTCTTTTTTTTTCTTTTTTTTCTTTTTCTTTTTGACAGGCAGAGTGGATAGTGAGAGAGAGAGAGAGAGAGAAAGGTCTTCCTTTTCCTGTTGGTTCACCCTCCAATGGCTGCCACGGCTGGCGCGCTGCGGCCGGTGCACCGGCGCACCGCGCTGATCCGATGGCAGGAGCCAGGTACTTCTCCTGGTCTCCCATGGGGTGCAGGGCCCAAGTACTTGGGCCATCCTCCACTGCACTCCCAGGCCACAGGAGAGAGCTGGCCTGGAAGAGGGGCAACCGGGACAGAATCCAGCGCCCCAACCGGGACTAGAACCCGGTGTGCCGGCACCGCTAGGTGGGGGATTAGCCCATTGAGCCACGGCGCCGGCCTAAAATGCCTTTTAAATAAAAGGCAAGGACCTGGATAAAAATCAAAGCCTACTTCTCCCACAATACAAGTACTTGGGCCATCTTCTGTTGCCTTCCCAGGCATGTTAGCAGGATGCTTGATTGGAAGCAAAGCAGCTGCTAGGCCAAGAACTGGCACTGCAATATGGGATGCCAGTGTCATAAGCTGTGGCTTAACCCACTGTGCCACAAGGCCAGCCCCTAAAAACTGTGCATGTTATGTAAGGGACTTGAGCCTCTGTGGATTTTGGTGTCTGAGGGGGTCCTGGAACCCGTCCCCTGTATAGGCTGAGGGGCGACTGTGTTTTGAAGTAAATTAACTCTTACAAGGAGGTGAGAGTTGTCTATTTGGCTTTACAAGGCAGTCTCATTCATGTAGCTATGAACCTGCTGGCTGTCGATTATGGGGAGCTTGCCCTGGGCCAGGCGCTTTGTGGATCATTTCAGGTCATCCTCAACCAGTCCTCCAGGCGTGCGCTGCTGCCGTTATTATTATCCCACATCACAGAGTTTCGGTGGCCTGCCCCACCCAGAGCCAAACAGCCAGACCAGGGCTGTGGGACTCCAAACAGCCGTCTCCTGACTGCTACACTATGCTGTCCCCAAAGCCACCATCTGTTTGACAGTTTCCTCCCACTGTGGAGGGCAAGGAGTCACTTGGAGCTGGAGATTGTGAGCCGGTGCCTATGCTTGGTGGAGTGCAGGAAATCTGACACAATGCTCCCCAGCTGGGCTCTGCTTGGGGTTGTCCCCATCCCTGACTTCAGGGGGGAAACAAAAACAAAAGTGGGTGGGAAATCCTGGGCCAACCCAGGGCATCAGAAGGCGGCAGCGGTAGAGAAACAGAAATCACTGAGGAGTCAGAGAGAAAGGAACTCTCCGGGGAAGCTATTAACAATTTAGTACGTGGGCATGTGGCTCCCACCTGCCAAAGAGACAGATCTGCCTGATGGGAACTACAGGGCCGCCTCCCTCCCAGCAGCTCCCTGGGCCATCCAGCTCCATCTGCAAGCCCTGGGAGGGGCAGACATAAAGGTAACCATAAAATAATAACCACTTGCGTTTGCAAAGTACTCTTTGACTCTCCAGAGCACTTCCAGATTGATGATTTCATCTTATCTTGACACCATCCGGATACTTGGGGAGGTCAGGTTTCATTGTGTTCATTTTATAGCTAGGAAGCCAGACAACCAGAGAGCCTGGGTGAGGTCCCCAAGGACCCATAGCAAATCAGTGAAAGAAATAGGATGGGAACCATCCATCTAGCTGCTGGAGCTAGAAACCTGAGAATCATTCTCTCTCTCTCTCTCTCTCTCTCTCTCTCTCTCTCTCTCTCTCTCAGCAATCAAGTCCTGACCACCATTCTTCCTTTATAACCCATGAATCTTGCCATTATATTTTATTCTTACCTCCATCCTCATCAGTTCTGGCTGAAACCACCAAGAGGGTCCCTGGAATGATCTCCCTGGACCCACCCTTGCTGCCCTCCAGCGGTGATGCCACAGCTACAGGGTGCCCCATGCTCTCACTTCTCTCTCTGCCTCCCCCCACCTCTCTGCCCCCAGCTCCGGCCTCCTGTCCCCTCCCCACATGATGTTCCAGCCAAAAGGAATTCCTTGTGGCTCTCCAGGTCATTTACTTCTCTCACCTCCAGATTTAGGCTTCAGCATTACAGTGCAGGATTTGAAACTCCAGCTGAGCGACTTACTGGTTGCATGATGCTGGGGAGTTACTTAACTTCTGTGAGCTTCATACGTGCATTTTCAGTCATAAGATGGGGACGACTTTAGAGTCCCTGGTGCTGGCTCCTCTGCTTGGAACACTATCCCTCCCTGGCCCCTTCCTCCCCTAACCCACTCCAACACCACCATCGGGTGTCAGCTGAGCTGTCACTTCCTCCCCTGCTCCCTCAGATTTGTTCATATCACACATTGCTCCCTGGGGCACGTCTGTCTGCTGGAAGCAGAGGCAGGGCCAGGATTCCATGAGGATCATCCCGTGCTGGTGAGGGATTGAAGTTGACGAGGGAACGTGGTCCAAGGCAGGACACACAGATGGGTTTCCTGACAAGCAGAGGACAGAGTGAACCCGGGCGGGTGATAAGCACCTGGGGAAGTCTGTTACGCATCGAGGGAGAGAGGCAGTCTCATCCTTTTGAGTGGACCCTGGAGCCTGGGCAAAGCCCCTCGGAGATGACTGTGCTGAACCAAATGGCAACGCTTTTTGCCCCATATTTCCTGGACCATGTAAACCTCAAGTGAGCAGAGGACTAGAACCCCTGCAACACACACACACAGACCCCACTCTCCAATGACTGAGACTAACTTCCCAGCCTTGCAAGGGATGGGGCAGAGGCAGAGTTCATTTGGTCTTTTAAATTCATTTTTGCAGTTGAGCGTCACGGAGGAAATACGTATGCCTGCTAGAGGACCCATCACAGGGTCTAGCAAGAGGCAGATGCAAAGCGTCCTTTCCAGAAGAGAGACGGTGACTTAGAGAAACTGCAGCTGCACAGTCTCCCTA